AATTTTTAAATTCAATCAAATCAAGAGGTCACCCCCTGAACTAAAATTTAGCTATTGAGAATTTTAAGCCCTCCCAGTATGTGCAATGGTACAAGACTTTTGATAAAGGAATTAAGAGACAATGTGATTGTAGCAACTATCACGGTCCCTGCGGCCAGCCAGCTTGCTAATATTCTGCAGATCCCCTATAATACCGACGTATTTGCCTATAGGTATTTTTTAACAAAGGTTACAGTTTCCTGTAAAGATATTGTTTGCCCTTACAATAAACAAATCCTAGGGACAAACTTTCTCAATGGTTTGCTAAGGAATTGCTAATCAACCTAAGGAAATAATGCTTTTCTCATGGGCAATTTTATGTTGTTTGTTCTCGAGTAGAATCCCATGAAAATCAATATGTTTTGTTGTTACCTACAAATATCACTACCAACATAGTGTACAATGAAGCCTAAAGTAAAAATATTACTACTTCTATATTGAATAAAGAAATTTAACTTGATTTACAAGATAAAAATTTTTCAACTTAAAAATTACACGAGCAAAAAAATTTCGCCCCTAAAAATAAAATACATAAAACTACTAAAAGAATCTCAATAAAATGTAAAAATACAAAAAAAAAATTGGTTTATGGTAAAAAAATGTGATATATTTAAAAAAAAAAATTATTAACTTGAATGAAAATTTGTTTAAATTCTATATATTTATATATTCAAATCGTAAGTTATATCTAATATATAAAATTCTCGTGTCACTGGGTTCGAACTTGAACTCCTCCGAAACGGCTCGACCGATTTTTGTGATCATTAGCGTGATTGTCGGCCAGGGTGGAGAATCGGCCAACATCTATTTTTCATCCCCCTAAATGTTAAGGGTAGTCCACCCCTAAATTTTATTTTTTAGGCAAAATTTTTTATGTCACAGCATACAAAAATACATACAATCCTAAATTTTCACCCCTCTACGCAGACGTAGTCGCGGGCAGCACCTAGTATTATATATTATAGAAAATTGTTATGTATAATTCTGTATGTATAAAAAATTTCTGCAGTTACTTGATATGTGTAATACATATGACAAAATTCATATTTACAAGGTTGATTATGACAAGGTAAAATATTTCATTAAAATTTAAAATAAAAAGAGCATAGAATCTCTTATTTATTAATTTTACATATAAAATAAGTATTCATGTAAATTAACCTTCTTGATAATACAGATAAATAGCAAGTTTCACTTACTTGAATAAAAATTTCATTAAGTTTTATAAAACAAGTTAACAATTTTGTTGAAAGTATGTTTTTAATTTTTCAAGAGCTCTGAATCTGTGTGATATTTTGTTTTTTTCCTCCTTTGGCATTTCAGCATAAGTCAAATTGTACCCGTCAGGTTGAAAGACACAATCCCAACCAAAGTCACGTGTACCTCTTGGTGATACTATTTTTCCTAATGTTTTTCCCTGAAATAAAATAACATCCTGTTCGTCTCCAGTACATGGGCAGTAAGCAAATGTGCATACGGCTTCTGCAGATTTATCCTCCCACCCTGACAAAAGCCGTGGTAACCCTTCTGGTTCCAATTTTTGTAAAAACCATTTTATGTATGGACCCGGTAATCCCTTTAATGCATTAAAACATAAACTGGTGTCTTCCACAACCACAGGCCGTTTTAACTGGAGAGCAGCTTCTTGACACTTTTTAATTGACACTTCGTCAATTTCACCCTGCAATTCTGGTAAATCAAGTTTGTGGCTTATTATATCGAACGGAAAATTTATACCTAGGATAGCCTTAATCTCTTCTAGTTTTTTGGCATTCCCAGTGACAAATGTTAGGGTTTTTTGAGACATAATAAAATAGTATTTAATATTTGTAATATATAATAAGAGTTATCATTTAAATATTTGACATTTATATAGAGAGTCGTAGACGTATTGTTGGTATATTAATATATAATATTCTTCTTCTTTCCTTTTTTAGCAGTCTTCAATGAATACGCCAAGTTAATGATATTATGTATTTATATACTCCAGTATTATTTATGATATGGCATTTGGCTTACATTATATAACTTCTAACCCAATTCTATTTCTAACCTATATTTTCAGTTTCAGTGACAGTGACAAATACAAACGGGTTTCCATTTTCCAACATGTTACTTTCATTTCCGCACAGCAGCAGAAACATTTTCCAGGTTGTTTATTTTTTTGTTATTTTTATAAATATTGGTGGTACAAAGTAAGGGTACTTTAGGATAACATTATCCTTTGTTGTAAGGACACGTTTTACAAACATAAATTTCACGTGGGGAAAAACCCCCAGATGCGAAATAACTATCTGTGGGTCTCTCAATTAGTTGTCCCGTGTTTTTTTGAACGTTTTGACATTTACTTCTATAATTTTATGGCGTTATCAATTGCATCTTGTCTTATTCATAAACAATGAGTATTGGCACACGGGACCGAATTTTTAGTATTTTTTTTGTTACGCTAAAGAAGTATAACTTAAAATGTTCGTACATAAGAACACACATATAATAAGTTTCTTTTATTATATGTTTTACAAACATAAATTTCACGTGGGGAAAAACCCCCAGATGCGAAATAACTATCTGTGGATCTCTCAATTAGTTGTCCCGTGTTTTTTTGAACTTTTTGACATTTACTTCTATAATTTTATGGCGTTATCAATTGCATCTTGTCTTATTCATAAACAATGAGTATTGGCACACGGGACCGAATTTTTAGTATTTTTTTTGTTACGCTAAAGAAGTATAACTTAAAATGTTCGTACATAAGAACACACATATAATAAGTTTCTTTTATTATATGTTTTACAAACATAAATTTCACGTGGGGAAAAACCCCCAGATGCGAAATAACTATCTGTGGATCTCTCAATTAGTTGTCCCGTGTTTTTTTGAACTTTTTGACATTTACTTCTATAATTTTATGGCGTTATCAATTGCATCTTGTCTTATTCATAAACAATGAGTATTGGCACACGGGACCGAATTTTTAGTATTTTTTTTGTTACGCTAAAGAAGTATAACTTAAAATGTTCGTACATAAGAACACACATATAATAAGTTTCTTTTATTATTAGTCTAGTTTATTGTTATCCTGGCGACCCACGAACCCAGGAGAATACCGTAGCTGGTGCATGCTGAAAATACAACGTCTACTTCCACTCAGCGAGCACTGTTCCACGCGCAAAATTCGATCACGAGTTCACGAGACATACCTTCTTCAAACGAACGCATAAGAAAACAATAAGCTTACGATCGTTGAATTATTTACGGAACACAAGAATAATGAAAATGAAGTCCGAAAACTACTAACTGTAAAAAGTTAAAGTTTGCACAATTCATTACGTAAGGAACGTAATATTGTATGCAGACTTGCTATTAAATAACAATGCCAATAAAATGTAAGCGATTTATTGTATTGTATTAACTGATGTTAACGCTTTTAGTTCCGAGAGTAATAAAGCTTCATCGAATGCAGAACCAATGGGCTGGCCAGAACCTATGGCTTTGAGGTGTCGGAGGAGTGTCGCCTATGGGCTATCGAGATTTGGTGCAGACCGTAACCCCGATAGCCGTTGACTGTGCTTGGTTAGTCGGTGGCTGGGGGCGGTACGAAGCGCCCTGGAACGCGAGTGTACTTAGTGTACGCGTAGTGTTGGTCTCGCCGTGCTCGAAGGCGACGACGAACTGTGGTGTTTGCTGTTGCACTAACTGTGCGTGTAGTATTATCTGGTGGGTCTCCCGACAGTGGGGTCCGACGTACTTAGGTCCCGTTCCTCGAGCGGGTTGATCCTCATCAACGTCCTCACGTTGCGCGGATGACGCTTATTAACGGTCGGGTTGTTGTCGGGTTGGTAATTTGCTGCGCTTACCACCAGAGGGTTGGGATCATATTCTATCAAAGAATCGTTTGGTAAGGTCTTTTAAAATAGTCCACGTTGCGTTGATACCAACGCAACGGATGAACTTGTTTTAAACGATTTCCAACTTGTGCAAGTAAGCAGGGTTCGTGTGTGTAATAGTTTAGGGTGAAAGAATTTAAAATATTACAACATAGGCCTTGGCCTTGCGTCCACCAATGCAGCTAAAACTTTTAAATTATATTTTTTGTTCAAATAAGTAGTATTGTGTATTTTTTTTTTCAAAGAGGTAACAAAATATTCTCAAAAAAATAACCTCTTAAAAAATTTCCATTGTACATTTTTTTCCTATTTTTAGGAAGAAAATTCCTAAGTTGGCAAGTAAGGTTATTTTAAAAATATCAAATGATTGTTTACAAGACGAATGACGTCACAACACAGATAATCTCTAGGCTAACATGGCGGACGCCATACAAAAAGTTAGTATGGTCTTTGCGTTTTCGCCTGTTTGGGAAAAACTTCATTTTTAAAATAAAGTTTTACCCTGTTGTAGGTCCCAAAAAAAAATATGGTAATATTTTTTTTGTCTAATCAAAGGCTGATTAATTATTTGAGACTTACTTTAAAAAAGAGTCAAGTAGCCTGTTGTTCAAATGGCATAAGGCCGTTTGAAAATACGTGCTCTTTGAGCCTATTTAAGTATAGCCGCTCGTAGAGCTTCCCCAAGCAATTGAGGAGGCTAATGGGAGTTAACGATGTAGCCCAATAACTTTGATAGCTTCGTCTATAACAGAGAACAACTTAGACAGGGGCTTAACAAACAATTATAACGATCAATCAAGAACAAACGACGAGCTGACGTTATACACAAATTTGAATAAAAATAAAAAAAATCGCTAGGGCTAGCTTTGGTGAGCCCTTATCTGGTGTACGATGATGACACGATGCCGCCATCTGCTCTTTTTTCCGCCCGTGATCCTTGGACCATGTCAAGCCTTGTTAGTAGAACTATCCACATTTCGATAACAGGAATCACCAAGATGCAGCAAAGAAAACGGCGTTATTTCTAAATTTACTCGTCAGGGTTGCGAATCTTCTTCGTGTGGGCCTTTTCCGATGAAGCTGTCAAAGCCACCGAGTTAGTAGCAAACTACACTACATAAATATATTAAATTTTTTTTTATAATGAGGCATCTCTAGTTTTTATGATTTTCGAAAACATATTTCTCGTCTTATCTTTTAAATATATGAAATACAACAATTATTTACTAGTATAGGTGTAGTTCTTTATTAAACTGCGCAATCATTATAATCAATGATGACACTCTGTGGGTTACATAGACAAATTATTATTTTTTAAATGACTGTCAAAATTTGTCCCCATAGTAAGACTTGAGTCTTGAGTTCATAAACCGACTTATATTTGCCACAAAGGTATAAATAATTATTGCACTAGTCACATTTACCTGCTTGCATTGCAAATATAAAAACATTTTGACAACAAATAATTTTCCTTTGTTTAAAAGATGCCAGTTATAGAACCCTCAACCACAAGGGTAGTGGTTCATCCCTTGGTTCTTTTAAGTGTTGTGGACCATTTTAATCGAATGGGGAAAATTGGTAATCAAAAGAGAGTAGTTGGAGTTTTATTAGGTTGTTGGAGGGCTAAAGGAGTTTTGGATGTATCGAACAGCTTCGCAGGTATGAAATTGTTTGTAAAATCCATTTTGTTCAACTACGGTTGTTTATACTAATAAAACCACACATCAGCTTCTACTGCCTAAATGTTTCGGCTCGATTGGAGAAGCAACACTGCCTTCAAATGTACTGATCAGATTTTCTCTTTTTCTAATGAGTGCGGTTCTGGTTATCCACCTGGCATAGTTAAGTCTCCTATCGTGTTGACAATGAATAGAGCAATCTGAAATTTTACTATTAGGTGCACCACTATTTCATTTTGAATCTTCAATTTGAGTATCATGATTGTTATTTAGATCTCATCAAATAAAACATTTAATAACAACATTTGCTTAGCCTTTTGAATTATGAAAATTACATAATTTTAGTTTAACAGATGTACAGCAACAGGTATTAATGCAATAGACAGAAAAACTGCATATTATGTATTAATGATATTAACTTAAAACCTTGTATGATAAATTATTATTTATTTCTTTTAGTTCCATTTGATGAGGATGACAAAGATAAATCTGTCTGGTTTTTGGATCACGACTATTTGGAAAATATGTATGGTATGTTCAAAAAGGTAAATGCCAGAGAAAAGGTGGTTGGTTGGTACCATACGGGGCCTAAGCTACATCAAAATGATGTTGCCATAAATGAGTTGATAAGGCGTTACTGTCCAAATTCTGTGCTTGTTATTATTGATGCAAAACCAAAAGATCTTGGTTTGCCTACTGAGGCGTATCAGGCAGTAGAGGAAGTGCATGATGATGGCAGTCCTACAACCAGAACTTTTGAACATGTTGCCAGTGAAATAGGTGCAGAGGAGGCAGAAGAAGTGGGAGTGGAACACTTACTGAGAGATATCAAGGATACAACTGTCGGTAGTCTTTCACAAAGAATCACTAATCAGTTACTTGGCCTCCGTGGACTTCATTCACAGCTTAGTGAAATCCGAGATTACCTAATTCAAGTAGGAAAAGGATCCCTACCAATGAATCATCAAATCATATATCAATTGCAAGATATTTTTAACCTGTTACCAGATATTGCTAGTGACAACTTTATTGATAATCTATACATCAAGACTAATGATCAGTCTCTTGTTGTATATTTAGCGGCCCTTGTTAGATCTATAATTGCCCTGCATAACCTGATCAACAATAAAATAACAAATAGAGACGCAGAAGAAGGCAAAAAAGAAGATGCAAAAGAAAAAAAGGAGAAAAAAGATGATAAAGATGACAAGAAGACTGATGATAAAGTAAAAGCAGATAAAAAAGAAAAGGAAGAAAAAAAGAAGTGATTTAGAATCATTAGTAGTTTAAGTTTCTCGTAATGATGGATTATTTTTAAATAAAATGTATTTACTAATTTCAATTTGTGTTTTCTTTTGTGTAAAAATCTATATAATATGAACAGTGGCCTTTTGCTATTCATGTTATAATTACTTTCTTATTTGTATATAAAATAAAATAGTACACAGTCATAGCCAATGATGTTAAGGTTTTAAAGTCCTATCTTGAAATATTTTATCATAACTTTATCATCTATACCTACAATAATGATAAATAATCTAGAACATTGATAAAAAGTCCACAGTTTTCATGGTGATGTTATGTCGCCGATATGTGAGTGTTATTTGGGAAAATATTGACATTCTGTGAGTGGAATCTCAAGCTTCTCAAGATGGCAGATAGAATACGCCTCTCAGTAAGTCTCTTAATTTGTACAATATTCATAGATACCGCACGCACCTGTTTTGGGTGTCCCTACCGTCTTACGATAATAGTATTATTTGTCACCTTAGGACTTAGTTTGGCTACAACCGGACGGAAAATCGGAATTCGATATTCCAGTCGCTGCTAAAATACTCAACAGTTCTGGTGGCCTAATACAAGTTCGAGATGATGACGGAAATGTATTTACAACATCTGTCGATAAGGTTATAAAGCCATTGCATGCTACGTCTGTTGATAGTGTGGAAGACATGATCACCCTTGGAGAGCTACAGGAGCATACTATTCTGCGTAATCTTCATATACGTTATAATATGCAGCTGATTTATGTAAGCAATTATTTTTTAGCCTATACTTATCTTTTTAAAATCAATAGTCATATATTTAAGTCTCCGGTTACCCACTCACCAGACGAAACGCGAAATTTTATTACTTCCACATAATGCCGGTTTTCTGTGAGGTCGTGCTACATTCCCGGACGAGCCTGCCCATTCGTTCAACTGCAGAAGGTGTTGCGTGATGCAAAGTGGATGACAGTAATTATACTTGTCTATTTGGATTAAAATACTATGAGATTTAACATTTTGCTTCATAAGTCTATGGCACTTTTCAGACATACACAGGAACAATGTTAATCGCTATTAATCCATATGAAATATTACCTATATATACGATGGATCAAATACAATTTTATCAAGATAGAGCTATAGGGGATATACCACCCCACATATTTGCTATTGGAAATAATGCTTACAAGGAGCTTCTGGCTACTTCATCTAATCAGTGCATTGTTATAAGGTATTTAATTTCTTTGAATAATTAATAATTAATAATAATTTTACAACATGTAAACATAAACGACATAAGTAGATACAATTTCGCGTAATAATGTATAGTAAAAAGGACTTGAAATGTAGACATTTATATTTATGTGTCAATGGCATACGAGTAGTCGGTTCACATGACTAAGTGATTACAGCCATCATGGATATTTGCAGCATCCGTAGGGCTGCTGTTACTTTACTTATTCGCACAGAGTCGTCTCGCGGGCATGAGGGGTGAAGTACCATGTGGATAGCAATGTTTTAAGGTACATACAGCACCCTCTGGAAAATGTGGCTTTATATCGGCACGGACATTATGGCGATAACGCGATTACGTCACCGTGCTTGATAGTCAAAAGCGTCTTTAATACAAACATGATTAAACCGTCCGATGACTATACTTAATATCGATTGATGCAAGCATTTACCGGTGTTCAGTACACATAGGGCGGTGTTAATCGAACTCGTACTAACTGCGTCTACCATGGCTTTGTAAAAAAATAAATTTATTAATGGCCGTACAGTTAATGAGCATTATATATTGGACGTCAGTCCCGCCGCCATATAATCGCCTCGCCTGGGCTCAGATGAGACAGGCAGTAGCAATGTCTCGTAGGAGCGCGCTATTGAGGTGGACACGCATGAAAACGGTTGAAGAGTGATATTTGAAGGGTTTGCATACCCTAACGTCGCCCGTTGTCGGCACGATCGAAGATTCGATCCGTGAGACGGACCACGAAAGATTCAAGAGGTCGAACCCCTTGAAATAGCGTTACGCCCCATGGCTGTTCGTAGAGATAGGTTCTGTAGATCATGAAGGCGCTGCGTTTGTCGATTGGATATAATTCCTTACAACGCAGGCTTCGAACCTTATAACTACAGCAAAATGACATTATAACTAGCTGAGATTCGAGCTGTGCAGTGGCTGCCGGTGCGCGCAACCCCTTGGCACGGTGGGATTTCTAATTCGGCTCTTAAAAAGCTTCCCAAGTGCGCCTTATTAGCTACAACTAGATGATTTAACGAAGTATATTTGGCACGGGTATTTTCCGCCAGTGTGGAGAAAAAGGTAAGATTTTGTGCTACCAAAACCGGGCAAAGATCTCAAGAAGATTAATCGAGTTACAGGCCTATCACATTGCTTTCACATAATATATGAAATTTATTACAAGTCGCATATTAATATTAGCAAACAGCTACACGACTTTTGCGGTGGCTATTCTACGGCCACCCAGCTGACCCGGGCGGGCCACCCAGTTGAAATCGTAGCAACTTGAGCTTGTGTTCGACATCAATGTTGGATGCAAGTCGGTTGGAGTCTTTCTTGTCATTGAGAAAGATTTGAGTATGACACCAGGGTCTGCTTTTTAGAGTTCCGTACCCAAGGGGTAAAACGGGACTCTATTACTAAGACTCCGCTGTCTGTCTGTCAGATAATGTTAGAAAGTTGAAATTTTCACAGATGTATTTCCATTGTCGTTATTACAACAAATACCAAAAAATCAGAATAAAAATATCGGATCGAATTAGCAATTTTTAGAATGTGGAGGATAATAGACCTGCTGAGGTCCATTTACCGCAGACCACTGCGGTTGAATATGTAGCGGATCGCTCTAATCGTTGCCTATAGTGACCGGCAAACTTACTAAACAAAAAATAGTGGGCATAGTTAGGATCACGTTTGCTCCAGTAAGTTCATCCGCCGTGTAACCGGTGCACAGTGGTATCAACGCAACGCTGATCTGCACAGCGATTGCAGACTCCCGACGATTCGCGAATATTTTAAAGACCTGACCAAACGGTTCTTCGATAGAGCCGAACATCATCCCAACCCTCTGGTGGTAAGCGCAGCAAATTACCAACCCGACACAAACGCGAACGTCAACAAGCGTCGCACGCGAAACATCCTAATCGACCCGGTCGAGGAAGGGGACTTAGTTACGCCGGACCCACCGCCGGTGGTCCCGCCGGATAACACTACACCCACAGCTAGTGTAACAACAAACACAATAGTTCGCCCTCGCCTCCGAGTACGGCGAGACCAACACAATGCGTACACAAGGTACACCCGCGTTCCAGGGCGGTTCTCACCGCCCCCAGCCACCGATTAGCTAAAAACACAGTCGACGGCCATCGGGGTCTCGGTCCGCACCGCAACTTCGATGGCTCTTAGATGACATGTCGTAGTTAAACGCACGCATGAGCACATGCGCGGCCCTAGCCACAGCGGAGGGCCCAAACCCGTGGCTAGCCCACCGGTTCTGCGTCAGATGAAGCTTTAATAGTCTCTGGACTGAAAGCAAAAACATCAGTTAATACAAGATAGAAGACGTTTGCTCCGCGGTGAATATTATCTGCCGCCCGCTTATGTGACGAATAATTTTTCAACAAGATTTGCTTTACCAGATACAAAAGTATTTAAACTTTAGTGTATTGTTGGTGGATGAAAATTAAATAAGACAGATTGTAAAATTGGAATATTATAAAATAGGTTAAATCTCTGTGTTTCTGAGATATGTTTTAGTGTTTTGCTTTTAAATCTTTTGTTTTCATTTCAGCGGTGAGAGTGGCGCTGGGAAAACTGAGAGCACAAAACTATTATTACAGTACCTAGCCGCTGCCAGTGGAAAGCATTCATGGATTGAACAGCAAATACAGGAGACTAACCCAATTTTAGAGGCTTTTGGTAACGCTAAAACAGTGAAAAATGATAACTCATCTAGATTTGGAAAATATATAAATATTTACTTCAACAAACAAGGGGTCATTGAGGGTGGAAATATAGACCAGTATCTCTTGGAAAGATCACGTCTAATTTTCCAAAACAAAGGGGAACGGAACTATCACATATTTTATTCTTTAGTAACAGGTTTGTCGGCGGACGAAAAAAAGAAACTAGACTTAACACGCCCCTTCGATTATGTCTACTTGAATTCTGGTAACATGTTAACATGTGATGGTAGAAATGACGCCCTCGAGTTTGCTGATATACGTTCAGCGTTTAAGGTGCTTAATTTTCCAGACAACGAGGTATGGGACATTTTCAGTCTTCTCGCGGCCATTTTACATTTGGGTAACTTAAAGTTTAAATCATTAAACATAAACAACATCGAGTGCTCAGAAGTGGCCGATCCGTTAAATGCAAATAGAATAGCTACCCTGCTTGGGGTGAACAAAGGAAATTTATGTGACGCTTTAACTAAGAAAACTTTAATTGCTCAAGGCGATAAGGTTGTATCCACTTTATCAGCGTCAGCTGCAGTAGAGGGAAGAGATGCGCTTGTTAAAGCTATTTATGGATACATTTTCGAGTACATAGTTGAGACTATTAATAAAACGCTTTGCAAGGGACAGCAGCTGTCGAATGGGTCAGTTGGTATACTGGATATATTTGGCTTTGAAAATTTTGAATCGAATAGTTTCGAACAGTTGTGCATTAATTATGCCAATGAGAATCTACAGCAGTTCTTTGTGAGACATATTTTTAAGATTGAGCAGGAACAATACGCGAAGGAAGGCATAAATTGGACAAACATCACATACATCGACAATCAAGTCAACTTGGACATGATCGGCCTTAAACCAATGAACTTACTTTCACTCATTGACGAGGAATCGAGATTTCCTAAGGGCACCGATCTAACACTTTTGTCAAAGCTACATACGAATCATAGCAATAAAACTTGCTACGTTACCCCTAAATCCACTCACGAGCACCGATTTGGAGTAAGACATTTTGCTGGTGAAGTATATTACGAAGTTAAAGGTACGTTGTTTCCGTTTTTAATATTAGTAGCTAATTTCGATCGGATCTATAATTACCAAGCTTTAATAACCAGGCCCTAGCTTTGAATAATATAACATAGATTTTAATTGCATTGAAAGGAATTTCTCAGCTAATGCCCAAAATCTTTTAGGGTTTCTTGACAAAAATCGAGATATGTTGACATCAGATGTAAGGGAAATGATATTTGATTCAAGCAATCAATTTTTAAAGGATTTATTTCCAACGGAGTCTGTTTCACAAAGCGGTAGTCGAAAAACCCTGTCACTAAGTCACCAATTCAAGACATCTTTAGACGCCCTTATGAAAGCGTTATATGGCTGTCATCCGTTTTTTGTAAGATGCATAAAACCTAATGAAACAAAAAAGCCTCGAGTAAGTATACATTGCACTCGAATAATATTCCAATAAATTTACCGCCAAAACTCCTTGAACTTAAACGCATCGATCGTGTAAGAAGTAAGAAAGTAACGTTCTCTTTTTAGGTCTTCGATCGTGCATTATGCGTACGTCAATTACGTTATGCCGGTCTTATGGAAACAGCGAAAATCAGGCAAGCTGGTTATCCGATTCGCTATCCATACGGCGAATTCGTTCATCGCTACCGTCTTGTTGTTGCAGACATACCGCCAGCGGAGAAGACCGATTGCAAAGCCGCTGCAAAGAAAATATGCAATGAAGTTCTAAAAGATCGGGACTATAGATTTGGTCACACGAAAGTTTTTCTCAAGGATCATCACGACGTCACACTGGAAGAGCTCAGGCATACGGTTGTAATCAGAAGCGTTATAATAACACAAGCGAATATTCGAAGATTTTTGCTTAGACGCAAGTATTTACGGATGAGGGCGGCAGCCATTACCTTGCAGAAGCACTTCCGTGCCCGTGGCTTCAGAAGCCGCTACCTAGTTATGAGGAGAGGTTACCTGCGTTTACAGGCGGCCATCAAGTCCAGGGAACTTAGGAAAACGTTCCTTAACTTAAGGCAGTTCTTTAGAAACCTTCAAGCTCACTGCAGAGGATATCTAGTGAGAAAATTAGTCACCGAAAAGGGTGATATCGTTAGAAGTAAACTTGCTGAATTAAAAAAAGAAAAGGATGAAGTAATAAGATCTTATAACAACGTGGAAGAGGCCGAGAATGATTACGAGAAAAAGTTCGACGATCTTATGAGGTCCATTTGGATTGCTAAAGATGCTACGGTGGAAAACAACGTCCAGAATGCTGATGTGATAGACGATACATACGTTGATGATGTGTTCGATTTTTTAAAGGATACGGCGACCCCAGCTGGTACAGTAAGGGGCACTGGATTCGGAGTCGTAAGCTTTGAACTTATTCTATTTTATTTCTACTTGAATTTGAGAGTGAAGTGAGTTTATCTAAACTATCAAAAATCAATTGAAAACATCAATAAGATTCATTCTTAGCTGCATTCGAAGTGAGGCAAATCATTTTCATGTCTTCGATATAGACATTAGTCTTTTTTAAATCTTCAAAATATTATTGACCGCATATTTATTTGGTTTTCAGACCATGACGGAAAAACCTCCGGTGATGAATGTAATACCGATCCCAATAGAGCCGCAAGAAGAGTCTTTCGATGAGTTTAACTTCAGAAAATTCGCTGCCACATATTTCCAAGGCAACACAAGTCACCAATACTCGCGGAAGCCCCTGAAAAGTTCCCTTCTAGATTTACCGTTGCCTATAGATCAGTTTGCGGCACAAGCACTCTGGATAACCATACAAAGGTTCATGGGTGACGTCTCCGAACCGAAGTATGTTGATGACAAGATCGATAACGTGCCAGTCATGACTAAGTTGACGGACACAATAGGGCGGGCGTTCCAAAAGAGTAAAGAATTCGAAGTGAGTCTAGCATTAAATGCTTATTTAATGCTTCTGTTAAAGTGGTGTCTTTATGGCCTAGTGTTTGATTCTCTCCCTCAAACAAACAAATTACCTCAATTCTCATGATTATGTAGATGGATGGAAACGAAAGGCTTTGTGTTTTGTTAATCTGACGTTGGTTTAAGTAAAATTAAAAAAAATATATAAAATGATACAATTACAATATTTTCCGCACTTGACGTTTATATTACTCTAATGGTTGTGTAAAAAGGATAAAAATATGTTACTTTGCGGTTACTTACTTAATAGATAATTCATTCAAAGATCACATTTCATCCACTTAATTAATATTTTAAGAACTGTAATTTACATCCAATAAGTTTTTCTAAATTCTTAGGAAGGCACACATATTTAGTGATTATAATCTTTTAACGATTAAAGATGTTTTCCTTTTCTTCTCAGAACCTCATTCAACCGGAAACCAACCAAAGCACTAGCAGGATTGTTCAAAAATTAATAAAACGACGAGCGAAAATAAATGAGGAATTTATGCGAAACATAATGAGCGACGAATCGACTAATGAAATGTACAGCAATTGGTTAAATTCAAGGAGAAGTACCAATCTCGAGAAATTACATTTTATTATAGGACACGGAATTATTCGCAAAAAGCTGCGGTAAGAAAGCTTTGGTAATTTCTCCGATTCACTTTACAATTGACATGAAGGATAACAGACAATTATTTTAAATATCATATGTAAAACTTTTGATTCACGAGTACCACAATTATTTTCAATGAAAATAATAATAAAGATAATTTTTTTTCAGCGATGAAATATTCTGCCAATTGTGCAAGCAGCTTACAAACAATCCCTCAAAATCTTCTCATGCCAGGGGTTGGATCCTGCTATCGCTGTGCGTTGGATGCTTCCCACCATCTGAAAGATTTGTTAAGTATTTGCGGTCATTCATACGCGGTGGTCCTCCAGGCTACGCTCCATACTGCGAAGGCAGGCTAATGAGGACTTTCAAAAATGGCGCCCGTTCTCAACCCCCAAGTTGGTTAGAATTGCAAGCGACAAAAACGAAAAAACCGATACTCCTAACGGTGACTCTCATGGATGAATCTATGAAGACGGTACAGGCCGATTCGGCAACAACGTCCGAAGAGATTTGTCAACAAATAGCTGAGAATGTTGGCCTTGCGGACCTATTTGGATTTTCGCTGTACATAACCCTTTATGACGTGGTCCTATCACTGGGTAATGAGAGTGTTCACATCATGGACGCTGTTTCTCAGTGCGAACAGTTTTCCAAAGAGCAGGGCACGCCCGAGAAGAATGCGCCCTGGCGGTTGTTCTTCAGAAAAGAAGTATTTACTCCATGGCACAACCCAGCTGAGGATCCAGTAGCGACTAATCTCATCTACCACCAAGTCGCGAAGGGAGTCAAGTTCGGAGAGTATCGATGCAATGCAGAAAAAGATTTGGCTATGCTTGCAGCGCAACAACATTACATAGAATACGGTGAACGCTTAGATCCCAACGTACTTAGAAAGGTTATTGTTAACTATATACCAAATCAGTTTATCAAATCAAATGACGCTGCGCTGACTAAGTGGGAACATCTTGTTACCAAAGCTTTTGAGTCTGCCCAAAGTATACAGTCCAGGGTGGATCCACTGCGCTGCAAAGAAGATATTGTGATTTTCGCAAAACTGAAGTGGCCAATGCTGTTCTCGCGGTTCTTCGAAGCCGTTAAACTGAAGGGGGATTCGATCAACAAAGATGTGATTATAATAGCTGTTAATTGGACCGGTATTTACATTGTAGACCAACTGGAGCACATACTTCTTGAAATATCGTACCCAGAAGTTACTTACGTTGCATACAATGACGATACTGAGTACGATAATATTGGCAGAATAACCATTAGAACGATACAACAAGAAGAATTTATCTTTCAAAGTGTTGACGCTAGTGAATTGAGTTCTTTAATTATATACATAATTGATGGCTTGAAGAGGCGGTCGTCTTACGTTATCGCACAAGTGGACTCTCAAGGATACGGTGATGCCGCCTCGTTCTTGCAATACAAAAAAAGCGATCTCATAACACTGCTTCATGATTGTACTGGAGAAACTTTAATGAATTCAACCTGGGGCCACGGTTCTTGCCATGGTCAGGAGGGATTGTTCCCTACGGAACAAGTTTACATATTGCCCACACTATCTCTGCCTTCTAATACTATCATCGAGGTGTTTAAGAAAGGTAATATTAATACAGACAAAAAACCACTTTCGAAATATAATACCCTTCAAAGAAAGAGAATGCACACGCTTGAGAAATTTTCCAAGGAATACTTCAGGGAGAATTACGATTACAATATTACAATATCGAAACAATCGACATTGAACACGGCTAAAAAACCAATAGCGAGTGATTTGTGGGCGCACACTCGGGAGCCTCTGAAAAAGCCCTTATTAAAGAAATTGATTGGCGATGAGAAACTCTCTAAGCATTCTATAACGGCATTTTATGGTATTTTAAAATATATGGGTGATATGCCAGCGCCGAAACCAAGATCAGTTACTGAGTATACCGACGAAATATTTAAATCCGCTTTAACAGAACCAGCAATGCGAGATGAAGTGTATTGTCAAATCATGAAACAACTTACTAATAACCGAATACAGCTGAGTGAAGAAAGAGGCTGGGAACTGATGTGGCTTGTAACAGGAGTGTTCGCTTGTGGACAAATTTTGATAAAAGAATTAGTGGAGTTCCTAAAAACGCGTCCACATCCCATTGCGAAGGAGTGTTTGAAACGGGTATTCAAAACGCAGAAGCACGGATCGAGAATGTATCCTCCCTACGTTGTAGAGGTAGAAGCGATTCAACATAGAAGTATGCAAATATATCACAAAGTATACTTCCCAGACGACACGGATGAAGCATTCGAAGTTGACTCGTCCACAAAAGCTAGAGACCTTTGTGAACAGATTACAGGTCGTTTGAATTTAAAGAATAGTGATGGGTTTAGTTTGTTTGTGAAAATAGCTGATAAAGTGTTTTCGGTGCCTGAAAGTTACTACTTCTTCGATTTTGTTCACGAGCTTGTCGAGTGGATGAAGAGATCGCGCCCAGTGCGCTCGGGTTAGTATGCTCAAATAATTATGTTGCCATGAGATTCGTTTGGCAATTTTTTTATTGTACTTAAATATACAATTGTAAATAAAAAGGAAAAAGTTAAGTAACAGCCTATACATGTCCCACTGCTGGGCAAAGGCCTCCTATATACAGAGGGTATCAGGGCATAGTCCACCACGCGGCCCCACTGCGGATTGGCGGACTTCACATATCTTCGAAATATTTTTTTTCACTATTTCGAAAATATGCATGTTTCCTCACGATGTCTTCCTTCACCGCGGAGCACGTGATAAGTCAGCACTTAAAGTTAACTTCCCTGGTGCCGGCACCGGGGATCGAACTCAGGTTGCTCGAGTATATTGAATTAAAAGCGAGCGCCCGTACACTGAGCTATCACGGCTCTAAAAATTGTAAATATTAAATAGTAATCATATATTTTTCATTTCAGCGGGCTCACACGTTCAAATGAACTATCAGATATCTGATCATTAAGATCATTCTGATCATTAAGATCATTCTGATCATTAAGATCATTCTGATCATTAAGATCATTCTGATCATTAAGATCATTCTGATCATTAAGATCATTCTGATCATTAAGATCATTCTGATCATTAAGATCATTCTGATCATTAAGATCATTCTGATCATTAAGATCATTCTGATCATTAAGATCATTCTGATCATTAAGATCATTCTGATCATTAAGATCATTCTGATCATTAAGATCATTCTGATCATTAAGATCATTCTGATCATTAAGATCATTCTGATCATTAAGATCATTCTGATCATTAAGATCATTCTGATCATTAAGATCATTCTGATCATTAAGATCATTCTGATCATTAAGATCATTCTGATCATTAAGATCATTCTGATCATTAAGATCATTCTGATCATTAAGATCATTCTGATCATTAAGATCATTCTGATCATTAAGATCATTCTGATCATTAAGATCATTCTGATCATTAAGATCATTCTGATCATTAAGATCATTCTGATCATTAAGATCATTCTGATCATTAAGATCATTCTGATCATTAAGATCATTCTGATCATTAAGATCATTCTGATCATTAAGATCATTCTGATCATTAAGATCATTCTGATCATTAAGATCATTCTGATCATTAAGATCATTCTGATCATTAAGATCATTCTGATCATTAAGATCATTCTGATCATTAAGATCATTCTGATCATTAAGATCATTCTGATCATTAAGATCATTCTGATCATTAAGATCATTCTGATCATTAAGATCATTCTGATCATTAAGATCATTCTGATCATTAAGATCATTCTGATCATTAAGATCATTCTGATCATTAAGATCATTCTGATCATTAAGATCATTCTGATCATTAAGATCATTCTGATCATTAAGATCATTCTGATCATTAAGATCATTCTGATCATTAAGATCATTCTGATCATTAAGATCATTCTGATCATTAAGATCATTCTGATCATTAAGATCATTCTGATCATTAAGATCATTCTGATCATTAAGATCATTCTGATCATTAAGATCATTCTGATCATTAAGATCATTCTGATCATTAAGATCATTCTGATCATTAAGATCATTCTGATCATTAAGATCATTCTGATCATTAAGATCATTCTGATCATTAAGATCATTCTGATCATTAAGATCATTCTGATCATTAAGATCATTCTGATCATTAAGATCATTCTGATCATTAAGATCATTCTGATCATTAAGATCATTCTGATCATTAAGATCATTCTGATCATTAAGATCATTCTGATCATTAAGATCATTCTGATCATTAAGATCATTCTGATCATTAAGATCATTCTGATCATTAAGATCATTCTGATCATTAAGATCATTCTGATCATTAAGATCATTCTGATCATTAAGATCATTCTGATCATTAAGATCATTCTGATCATTAAGATCATTCTGATCATTAAGATCATTCTGATCATTAAGATCATTCTGATCATTAAGATCATTCTGATCATTAAGATCATTCTGATCATTAAGATCATTCTGATCATTAAGATCATTCTGATCATTAAGATCATTCTGATCATTAAGATCATTCTGATCATTAAGATCATTCTGATCATTAAGATCATTCTGATCATTAAGATCATTCTGATCATTAAGATCATTCTGATCATTAAGATCATTCTGATCATTAAGATCATTCTGATCATTAAGATCATTCTGATCATTAAGATCATTCTGATCATTAAGATCATTCTGATCATTAAGATCATTCTGATCATTAAGATCATTCTGATCATTAAGATCATTCTGATCATTAAGATCATTCTGATCATTAAGATCATTCTGATCATTAAGATCATTCTGATCATTAAGATCATTCTGATCATTAAGATCATTCTGATCATTAAGATCATTCTGATCATTAAGATCATTCTGATCATTAAGATCATTCTGATCATTAAGATCATTCTGATCATTAAGATCATTCTTCATTCTGATCATTAAGATCATTCTGATCATTCTAATCATTAAGATCATTCTGATCATTAAGATCATTCTGGTCAATTCAGAGTTTAACCATCCTTTTGCCAAATAAAAGGAAATTTTAAAAGCCATTTGACAGGTGATTAGTTGACATCTACGATGATGAATGATCAGTGTTAGTGTTACACCGGGCTAAAGAGTACTTTTATATATCTGAAACCGAGCGTTATTGATCAGAATTTACATTCTGTTGGCGTATTTATTGTAAACTAGCGACTCTCCCCGGATTCGCACGGGTGCAATGTATAATACACTAGCGGCCCGCCCCGGCTTCGCACGGGTATTTAACAAAATTTTTAAAACTAAAAATTATCACACACATAAAATATTCCGAATATTTCGTCTTTGGTGAATAATTTTATGAATTTCTTCATCTTTTAATGAAATACCCTTGAAATTACGTCATGAAGATCGAAAGACCGCTGACCAGATAATGGTTCCGCTTTAACTACGGGACATTCGGAGTTTCACGTAAAAGTGACAAATAAGTCTGGTCTCCCATAGCTTCGGACATAAATCATCCTATCTTTGGTTTGTTGACCGATATTTAATGAGCCAATGTCTTAAAGATGGCAACTCATTTGCAACCCTACAGGTGTTACAAATGTCCATGGGCGGCTGTTATTACTTAACATCAGGTGAACCGCCAGCTCGTTTGCCACTCTATCACATTAAAAAAAATCATGTTTTATTATCATTATTCAATATAGAAGTATTACACTTACATATTGTCAAAAACACTACTACTGTGTTTATTATTACTTTTTATTTTTTTATTATTATGTTTTTTGTTTTAATTTTTAAGCATGCTGTGTTTGCCTCTTAATTAGATGTACATTTAGTTGTAATTAATTCATGTTTCATGTAATATTGTTTTTAATGTAACATCTACTGGCAGACCTAATAAATAAATAAATGTACTGTCAACATTATCTATAAAAACGGCCAAAAAATTATGTCTGTTTTATGGGAGCCCCACTTATTTATATTTTTTGGTATTTTTTGTTATAGCGGCAATAGAAATTCATCGTTTGTGAAAATTTCAACTGTCTAGCTATCACGACTCATGAGATACAGCCTGGTGACATATGGACAGACATACGGACAGACGGACATCGGAGTCTTAGTAATAGGGTGCCGTTTTACACTTTGGGTACGGAACCCTGATAAGTCCCAGTAATAATGCAATGGCTTAAAACAGGAAGCTTTAACCATCAACCTAAATGCATACAATAGCATGCATGTCATAGTTTTGTTACGCACAGTACCTTGCTGAGGAATAGTCAAATATTAACCGTCTTCTCCTATTACGACTATTAAGGGATATTTTTATGGATCATACAATCGATGTAACTCAGAGACCCTTTTAAGTTGGCCCTGTCTACGGTGCAACACTATATCTCTGGAGCCTTTTTAGCATGCCGTACCCAAAGGGTAAAACGGGACCCTATTACTAAAACTCTGCTGTCTGTTTGTCCCTTTGTCAACAGGCTGTATCTCATGAACCATGATAGTTACACAGTTGAAATTTGATCTGGGTATTTGTTTCCCAAGGAGGGTTGACGTCAACCAGGCAGCTGGTTGTAAAAATATAGCCAAAACCGCTTACAACATGATTCATGTTGTGCCGACCCCACCTAGGTGGGAAAGGGGCAGGAGGATGATAATAACTTGTATACTTGTCCCTCTATTTTAAAAGTTCGCGTCAAACGAAGTCATTTGAAAGAGGCTATTGTACTTTCGGATGTTGGTTAAAAATGTCCTGATGGTGAATGATTATTTGTAAAAATAGTTTTTATTGGTTGTGGCGGCTCCTCAATATTGGGGGGACTAACTTTTCCAGAAGCACAGCACATACTATTTGGTTCATCGACCCATTTTTGGCAGAACACTTAGAGCAGATCTTATTCGTGGCTACGATTTGGACGGAAGACTGTTGAGCAAAATGCATGAAAGCTGATCTGTTACTGTAAGCTAAAACTCGATCACGAACTCTAGTCGTTGAAGTTTGTTATCTTTCTCTCTAATCTCGTCTCTCTCGATTCCCTAGTGTGAATTTGTATATTTATATTATTATACTCTTCAAGCCACTGCAAACACTCTATTTGACTCTCTCCGACTTGTGAGACGATATTCAGTTTCCGGTAAAGATTCCTCATTATGACGTATTTTTAATGTCCTCGCCTGGGAACTCTTTCTAGAAAGATGAGGTCTTGATCTTTTGGGCATTTTAAAATGATAAAAAAATTAAACTTCCTTTGTATTTAATAATCTGCTAACTGTTGAACAGGAATTACCAGTATAAATGTGATTGAAAACTTATAGGAACTACTAAGACAGTCACTGTTATTATAATTACAATATACTAACATTTTTAAACTTGCAATATCTAAGGAACGGAATGTCCGAATTTAATAATTTAAAAAGTTTTATAAAGATATTGAAACAGTCTTAAATATGAAGTAATTTATTTTTATAAGGATTAATACCGAGATACAAATAAACAGCCTTTGTTAGCGCCGGCATTTCAATCAAAATTTTAAAATAAAAGAACACTTGTTTGTTGTGGCATAACCATAATAGTTAGACATATGCTGTCGCGACTCTTTTTGTAAATAATGATGTGGTCTGCAAAGTCGTAGTACATTACTTTATTCTATCATCTATCAATAGTTCACGCGTGACTCATCACGCTATCAATAGTTTTCGCAGCGCACGCGATGTAAAGAATATTTTAGGTAATTTTTGTACACCTTGAGTTTATTGGAGGATTGAGTAACATTATTGGAGTTTTAGTAAGGATCCCTAATTTTTTGAAAATATTATATAGCCTATGCGAAGCAGGGATAATGTAGCTTCTCAACAGTGAAAGAATTTTTCAAATCGGTTAAGTAGTTTCGGAGCCTATTCGATACATACAAACAATCAAATCTTTCCTCTTTATATAATAGATATGAACCTTCCTCTTGAATCACTCTATCTAGTAAACAAAACCGCATCAAGATCCGTTGTATAGTTTTAAAGATCTAAGCATACATAGGGACAGACAGACAGCGGGACGACTTTGTTTTATACTATGTAGTGATGCACAGCAAAGAGACGTTTACATTTCAAGTGACCTTTTACCACAGTCACTAGAGATGGGCTTAAACGTTAAAAATGAATAATACTACTAAATGCTAATGCTAATAATAATTAACACTTAAAATTAGCAGTTATTTATACAGTTTTATACAGTTAGCAGCACAGACAGATTGTTACTTAATTAATCCTCATTTCCTTCATACTTTTCACAGGCTTAGGACTGTCAACTTTTTCTGTTGGCGTATTTAAAATGAGAATGAATTAATTTACATACAAAATGTTCCATATTTCATTTTTTTTGCCCTCAAATATCCATTTTAGCTAACACCACACAAACAGCGATACAATTAAAATGTCACTCACAACACTCATTATCTAATAGATATACTACTTATATAACACACACGTAAAATTATGTATATTTACGTGTGAGTTATCTAGTAATTAAGATCAGTCTTTATTTAACACTAATTAAATATAACATTTCCAAATTCAACAGTTTGCATTTAGTTAAATCAACTCGACTATTATTTAGTCAATCTGTCTGACTGAACAGTGAACAATTGAACATTGAACAGAAAATTAATAGTTTGCAGTTGCTATGTTGAAAACAATTCAATAGAGAGAGACGGAACGAGCATCATTGTCATCGCGTCCTTTCCTTTCCTTTGTTTCGTTCGTCGTCCTGCGCTGCGGCCTGCAGTAGTGAGATAAAGGGAGACAAATATATATCCGTCCGTGTCACCGCGCAGAATACCTGTACAGTTGTACACTGCTCCCGCTGCCATTATTATTATCTGCGTTCGCAAGAGTTGTGACTTGTCTACATTTAACAACTATCTCAGAATTTATTTAACAGGTGTTGAAATTAGCAGCGTTAATTTAGCAGCTTATTAATTTTAGACCCATCTCTAACAGACACTCACTTGTTTTCAGGTTTTGCCTTCCCGGAACTCCACTAACACTTAAACTTTATGGTATGGTATTAAAGTTCAAATTGACTTTTAAGTATTGTTACGAATCTTTTGTACGGGAATATAGGTGTTGTTTTTAGACATTTTTAGGCAATTTCTTAAATTATTTTTTTCATAAGAACCTCTCCTGATATTAACAAACACAACAAAAAAAAAGTGAAATCGGTCCGTCCAGCCGTTCACGCGTGGTGGCGACCAAGGGAAATAGGTACTAAAAAATAGGGATTTATTTTTTCATTCATTCACTGATTCACTCATATATTGTTAGTGTAAATTGTAAACTGATGTACTTAAATTGTAAACCGTCAAAAAGGAAAGAAGAAGTAATACATATTATTCGAAAAATCAAACAAATCTTACAGTACTACAATACATCATTATACTTATTTAAGGGTTTATTTATTGTACTTAGCTATAATTCTTATTTTTTCCAGTTTATTTAGAATACCTCAGTACTATAAAACAAAGAAAACAAGAACTGGTGCTAAAAGTACATTACTCAAAACGGAGGATAAATTCTAGTATTTAGTACTTTAGTTTGGATTCTAGAATAATTACTTTAAAAAACTTTAGGTTAAACGGTTTTATTTTATGTTTTTTTTTTGTTAAATTTTTTTTGTAAATATTGTATTGTCATCTAAATTAAATGTGTGTACCAAATTTCAGATCAATCTGACAACAGCAAGGTGCTTAAATTTCAATTTCTAATTTTGACCCAAATAAATAAACAAATTCCGTACGGGTCGAGCTAAATAAAACCGTTTAAAAAGATATTTTTAATATGAATTTTCCTACTATTGCTTTAGAAAATGGCTTAAATTTAAAGTAAGTAATGTTAAAATAAAAAAAACATTAAAAAAAATTAAATTTCAATCAATATTGCAATTGCTAGTTTATTTATGTCGATTTACATTTTTCTTCATTTTTAATTTTTTATCTAAGGGATGTAACAACTTCTGGTTCAATACTACATATAAATGAGGAGTATGATGACACAGATACCTATTTAGAAGCAGAAAAAAGCGAGCCTAAATCAATTGATTTCATAGGGCAACCAGTTGACTCTTTTTTAGAACTAGAAAAACTACTGGCTTCTGTAGATGATGAAGGCTTTGTCAAAAAGAAAATATTAGAAGAAGGTGGTGGATTACCTCTTACTGCAGAACATACAGTCTCTATAGCCTTTTCAGGTTATTGGGAAAATGAAGAAATGCCTTTTGATGTTGTGAAAGTTGATAAACCATTGGTAAGTTATTTAATTTAGTTTTAAAAATATGTTACAAGGAAATTAAACTGTCAAAAAAATATTCCTTTGTCTCGTATAATGGTCTTGTTGGGATAGTGATCATCATGTTCTTCATGTGTTTTAGTGTATCTTCCGCTTCAACTTGCAGATTGTTTGGTTTTTTCCTTCAAAACATTACCCTAGTTTTTAATGTCATATTACATGTTTTTGATTTCCTGTTTGACACTGGTCATTATGTACATCATCATAACAACAATGAACAACTTTATTTGTAGCGAACTAAGGGATGGATGCTATGTTACACTTATTTTCATTTATTTTCTTCGATATTTGAATAACAGGCAGTCCCCCCGAGTAGTTTCATATATGTATATGAAACTACTCGATATCCAACCACTTTAAATGTCAAATTGTAGTGGAATAGCTTGGTGATTACCATCACTTGTGAATGTGACCAAGTAACCCACACATACAGCATGCATATATTAAACGTAAATTTATAGATTTAATCTCATTTTATTTTAAGACAGAGGGGCAGTCATGACACAGTCTGTCCCATGACCACAAACTCTGGAATGGGTTTTTCACATTATTACTTTTAGTTTTCACACTATTTATATTTAAATTGAAACAAGAAAACAATACAGCATACATAGTTGCAATCCTAATTGCTTCCTTTTTGTTAATACATAATTACATATTGTGGAAGTTCTAGCTTCTTGATATTGATGGCAAGTGCATCTTAGCATAAAGCTATTATGGACTGATTTCATTGCTTTAGTATTTATTATTCTGACAATTTAGGTGAACCGGTGCCTTGATGAAATCCTAATTAGATGCTTAGATATTGGTGTTGTCAAGTTAGGTACCAGTTACTAAGTCAAATGTGTAGGTGCTGTATTACATATTGCCTTGCAGGCCTCTTGCAGTGAAAGGTTTAGACAGACTTGACCAACATCCAACATTTCTCCAACATTCTTCTCCAACTGACCTTGTCAATGATGAATGTTTAGCGTTTGGTTGCCAACTGGGTTACTGGTTATGAGGGTAGTGAGGTTTGTATTCTCAAGTACAGAAAAGAAATTTGGTACTGGAGTTTTTAGACAATGATTTGGTTTGGTCTTTCAGATTTTCTTTGTGGCATCATAGTTAATTTTCATTAATTTGCCCTGGTTTACATTCTGCCATTTGCATGTTCAGTGTGGTTAGGAAATGTCATGATACAAAAAAATATTATGTGAATTTCAACAAGGCATAGAATATTAACAGGCATTCAAATGTCTATTAGTGTATTTGTTTTACAGGATGTCAATCTCGAAGACAATGGTTTACTGCCTGGGATGCAGATTGCTATAAAATCTATGCTAGTTGGTGAATTGTCCGTTTTCCTGTTTTCATATAAAGTTATGTATGGTGATATGGGTATTCCGCCTAGAATAAAACCAAAAGCAAATTGTGTATTTTATATTAAGCTAATTAAAAGTATCATTACTCCAAGGAAAGGGTAAGTAAGGGAAGGTATATTTCATATAATTTATTAATTTATGTTATTAATTATAATTTTTTGTCACTCCCATGACTGACTTGACATTGGCAGAATTCTTTAAAGAGATGCCATAAACAAAGAAAGAAAGAAGAACTATAATTTTTTGGTTTAACTTCATCAAAAATTATTTCATAAGCAATGTTATAAGCAAGGTTTATAAATTACTTAATATTTGTTACTAAAAAGTATTTAATATATTTGTAGAAATACTTATGCATTAAAGTTTACCTCTAAGTCGGCCAAGTGTTATCATTTTATTTCAGCATGTGGTTATTAATTTATATTTTTTATAATTATATTGCAGGCCAATAAATTACTCTGAACCTAATATTTTCGATCGTATCCATCATGAAGTTAAATTATTGTATAGTTCAGGATTGACGTTGTACAATACTAAAAATTATACAGCAGCTATACAAGTATTTAGAAAAAGTGTTTTCATGCTCCATAAGTGTCGTTTGGCTGATGAAAATGAGGAAAAAATTCAAGAAAAGTTGTTAATAAAACTTTATACTAATTTGGCAATATGTTACAACAAACTTAAACAACCACTTAAAGCATGCACGGCTTGTAATGAACTGAATAGACTGAATTGTCTGTGGAACAACAGTAAAGTACTTTTCCAGAATGCCAAAGCCCTTCGTATGATAGGTCAATTTGGAGAGGCTGAGAAAAAGATCAGAAGAGCCTTAAAACTTAGCCCAGATAGTGAAGAAATAAAAGCAGAATTAGAATTACTATTAAAAACTTGTGACTCAATTAACCAGACCTGTTTAATTGACAGAGATAAAACTTCTCTTGAATTAGTAAATGATATTTTTAAGCAAGAAGTAGATAATCTTATAAAGAACTTTAAAAGTAATGGTAATTTATCTAAGCTAACATTACCAGGTGGCCTACATTTTGAAGAAATAAATTACATCGAGGAAGCATGCATAAGAGAAAATTTATTTTTCAGCAGTTTTGAAAAGAATTATTTACTAGATAAAGATGAGAGTTCTCCTGAATTAAATGACTTGTTAGAAAAATGTTCTTTTTAAATATTGTTGAAAATTATATATAACAAGTTCCTTTATGAGTAAAGAAAAATATTTTGTTAATTTGAGCCTTTTTATTTCCAGCAGAAGCTCCACAAAAAAAAAAACTTGTGTTTATCTTTAACAGCTCTTGAGATATTTACAAATCATAAATTATGTGAGTTTTAAATTTATAGATCAAACAATAATAATAAGATAAGCATTTAGAAATCAATTTGTAAATTTCCGTAACTCAAAGGTAAAAAAAATCAACTTTTATAAGATCACTTTTTGTCAGTGTGTCACCTCATTTACTTAGGAACGAGTGCTCCTAGCAAATTGAAATTTATACCAGATGCTGAGATCTATTAGGTGTATAAAATCAAGGTCCCGAGTCAACGATTAAAAGATTTGGTCAAAATTACATTTTCGCGAAAACTTTTATGTACTTACCAAAATTTACCTTCTTTCGGAATTTTTTTGTGCTTTACGACCTTTATTTGTGCTTTACGACTGTGCTTTTAACCAAAATTTATAATTTTAGGTTAACCGGAAGTGCCTTATAGGTTTAAGGTCTAAAACCTATATGGTAGTTCCCGTCGACCTATAATCACGAAATTTGGCAAAAACCAAGGTCTTACAGCACAAATAAAGGAACAATTCATTCAAAATTTATGGGTTTGACTCATAGCTGATTCCAAATAAGATTGTCCTCTGAGTTTTATGGGCGCTCATACAATTGAGGAATAGTTGAATTAAAACTTGGCCACCATCAATTTTGTTATGGCGGTAAAATGGGTAGGTACGGAACTCTTGGCACACGAGTTCGGCTCACGATTGACCAATTTTTTTAAGGATTAAAGTAAAAAATAATAGTTCATATTATTTTAAATCACCAAAATAGTATAAGAACAGGAATTTAATATAAGAACTTCATTAAAACTATTTTAACCATAGTAATACAGTAATAAACTGAAAATGTTGACTAAAATACAATTATGGACAACTTTAAGCATCTTCTAATTCGAGGCCAAGTACAATTATTTGTTACGCGGCATGTATCAAAATTAAAAGTTTTAGAGTAAAGATTATTAGAGATTAGAGAAGATTATTAGAGTAAAGATTATTATTCTAGGTCAAACTAGCTTTGTTTATTAGCCATCACCTGTTTGTTTACATGATTAGCTAAGACAGAAATTAAAAGGTACATACATAGCAAGATAAAATAATCCTTAAAACTTGCATGATAGTCTATTTTTTAAAATCACTAGATATTTCAGGGAAACTGTTCTTGAATGATAACAGGTGAGAAGAAATATTAATTAGAGTGATCATATGAACAATAAATAAGTATAAAGGTGAAGTATAGGTACATAACTTACATAAATAGTAAAACAAAATTCAACAAATTATATTTTATTTGTGTAATTACAATATTTCATAAAGCTAATAAATGACTACTACAGTCTATTGGCGGAACCACACCTTTAATCATCCTTAAAATGCAACACTTATTGAAGTGAACAGAAATGCAGTTGCACAGTACCAATTCGTTTTTGATTTAAGCCAGAATCTCTTTCAAGCCGACATAATTATTTTGATTTAGTTCTGTGTTGGTAGGTTTAACAAAATATTTTGCCCTTGAGGTAGATAGGTAACATTCCGCGATTTTGCTAGTTGGTACGCAATATCTTCAGCAGCTTCAATGCGCCTTAGCTCCACTAGACCTTCACCAGCAGTACCAAAAGATTTTGCAAGGAGTATAGCAGCTTGTGCATCACCTTCAGCTGCTATAACAGCTGCTTTCTTTTGTTGTTCAGCTTTCTCTACTAGGAATCGAGCTTTTTCTGCTTCTTGTTGTGCTACTTGTTTCAATTCTACTGCTTGAGTGAACTCTTTGCCAAATGTCAGATGAGTTATGGATATGTCGTCTAAAATTAAACCAAATTGCGATGCTCTTTCAGTAAGGCTTTCATTCACTTTTTGTGACACAACCTGTAATGATAATTTAAATTAATGTAGACTAAGTGAAAAACAAAAACAATACCATCGCTTTCCAGTTAAATGAACATATGAATAAGCAAAAAAATATAAGATAAATTAGAAAATATTAAGGCTTATAAAATTAATGAAGTACAATTACATATCTTAAAACTACATAACACATTAAGAGTAAACTCTGGATTCGCGCAGCAACCATTCTTAATACACTTCATATATAAGAATTAAGCCATGTGTTCCTTTATTGCCGTGGTTGCACACTGTATACAAACAAATAGAGAATAAAATAAAATTGTCAAATAAAACTAATTAAACCAGCAAGCTTTAATTAAATACTAATATATTTACATATATATCTATACATTCATCACAAGGTTACATCAGTAAAAATATTATGTATAACTATAATTTATTGATATTGGTATAAACTATGTAACATAACTTATCTATATATGCAATACATATTATTTTATTTTATGTTAACATTAAACATGCAATTTTAATTAAAATTTATTTTTGTTTGTGTAATATTTTTATTTTATGATTGTAATGTGAAGGTGTATTTTGGATATAAATAAAGATTATTAATATTAAATAAAAATGTATTAATATTACCTCTCGTTGTGTAATGAGTTCTCCTGCATCAAATTGTGCAACAACGGCTTTAAGAACCTCAGCAGTGATTGATGGAAGCACTCTCTCATCATAATCAATACCAAGAATGGTGTAAATTTTTGGCAGCTGGTCTGGTACTGGTCTGAATAGGATACGTAAGGTAATGTTGACATTTTGAAGATCTGGAATACAAATATGTTTATTTCATTAGCATAGTTCTTTTACAGGTAATAAATATTTGGAGCTACCTTTTAAGCAACAGTTTTGCTTGTTAGGCAGCACCATTCTTCCGTAAAGTAAAAAGTAAAGTAACAGCCTATACATGTCCCACTGCTGGGCAAAGGCCTCCTCTATACAGAGGGTATCAGGGCATAGTCCACCACGCGGCCCCACTGCGGATTGACGGACTTCACATATCTTCGAAATATTTTTTTTGTTATTATTTCGAAAATATGCAGGTTTCCTCACGATGTTTTCCTTCACTGCGGAGCACGTGATAAGACAGCACTTAAAGTTAAAAACTCCATTGGTGCCGGCACCGGGGATCGAACTCAGGATGCTCGAGTATACTTGAATTAAAGGCGAGCGCCCGGACACTGAGCTATCACGGCTCCATAGCATACTTATAATAAACTTAACTAAATACAGTACAAATTTTAAACTAATTTCCAAAAAAAATAATAAATGATATTTAACACAACAGTTTAAAAATCTGTTGCAAATATAGTGAACTTAGTTGAAAAAAATTAATTGAATTTAATGTTTATTATTTATATATATTTATAATGAAACGAAATTATATATTTTTCATTTGTGCACAATAAAATATCATTCATTCATTGAATGCATAATATGTCATAGATTTGTTTGCTTAGCTTATTACTAAACATATACTAAGTGTCAGTGACCCTTGTTTTGTTTAAAAGATACATTTTATACCTTTGCTTCCAGTCACTGTTGGAACATTTCTCGGTCTGGATCTGATATCAAAAATAATTGGTCTCTGGACCCATGGAACGAAAAAGTGAGTGCCTTCCCCCACCACTAAATTTTTTACACCAGCAAATCTATCAAAGATTACTGCTCTGTGGCCACCATCAACTGAAAATCATAAACAGTTTACATTTTATTAACTTATAACATGCAATAATAGTGTGGTAGTTTTAAGACAGACTTTTGTTATAGTTGGCATAATGACAAAAGTTGTTACAAAAGTTTCTAGCATTTATAGTTTTTCGTAAGCTTGTGGTTTAAAAATTGTGGTGCAAAGTTTCAGTCTGTGAGTAAGATGTTTAGAGTCGCATACCATTATAAAGAGCAGAATTAACTACGCCACCCACAAGTGCTACACCAAGGCCAACTTGACCAATACGGTTGAAGAGTTGGGCTGCCATGTCTGAAAACAAAAATATTCTTTAGCAAAGAAATATGATAACTAAGTTTAAGTACTAGGCAGTTTAAAAGGCAATATTTAGTATGATTATTATTTTTATAAGGAAATAAGAAATAATAGCACCGGCAGTTATAAATAATAATAGAAGATATTAGTACATCTATTTAATCAATTTGTTTTGAGTTAAATAAAAGATTCTTTTATGTAATAATTAGATATCAAATAAGCATAGTAATTAATTAAAAGCAAAGTATAGGTTGAATTTATCATATTGCACGATTGCCTAACCTAAAAACATGTTACACTGAAGAAAGCTTATTGTTTATAGTTGGTTAGATAATATTAATAAATACCTGTTAGAGCGAAAAATGTTTAATATTTTATTTGTTTCTGCTTGCAAGTTTTTAAGTATTTATATTAATATACACACTTATTTCGACTCACGTAAGAAATCTATAAAGTAAAAATTGTCCATAGACAAATCAAATTGTAGTTTGTAACTTTCTAGTCATCAAATACAAGCAGCAGATTATGAAATGGTTATGAAGGAATAAATGAAAAACAACAATTTTCATAAATATTCAAAAGTAAATAATGATTCAAAAATTTCAACTATACCGAAATAAGGAGCCAGTTTAAAGAACTATTAGACGGTCCGTACGTACATAAAGTTGAATTCTTTTTTATAACATATCGGCTTTAGATTTAGATCACATACCTATAATAAAAAAAAAATATTGTGTATTTTACCTCACTTACAAATTGTCTAAGAGAATAAGTATTATATTTACAACGAATAACGCCCGATTTCTGAAACACTGATGAACGTAGAAGTCTACTAATCAACTGTCAAATCAAATGGGTTTTCAAATGTTATTTGAGTTGCCAAAAGGATTGTTAAACCCTCTGAATTTCATTAGAATAATTTTCTTAATAATCAGAATGATCAATTCAAAGAGTTTAACAATCCTTTTGGCAACTCAAATAATTTTTAAAATCTATTTGACAGCTGGTTGGTTGACATCTACGATAATCAGTGTTTCAGAAACTGGGCATAAGTGTCTAGATGCGGATATTTAAACGTATCGTTTTGTACGGTGTTTTAAAATGCACGCCAATCGGTGCGAATGCGGTCTTGTTTGACTTAACATCATTCGCGGGAGCTCTCCATCAAACACATTGATCTTGCTGCTTGTTCGCGTGGTGAAATAATTAATGTTTTAATACAGTATCTATTTAGTGGTGTGTTTTTTAGTTACAATAATACATCTTTTTGAACGAACCTTTTAAAGTTATTGGACTAATTGTAGTCCAAAAACTTTAAGAGGTTCGTTAGAAACAAAAGAGTGAACAGTAAAATACACCTACAAACAAAATTATTAGTGAAAACTTTTAGACTCTATGAAAACTTCAAGACTCCTTATTACCAAATATTCCACCAGGAAACAGTAGGAAAAAGTTGGCCTTTAATATAATTCGAAACATAATATCGGTAAAAGATTTACATCATTGACCTCTCTTTGGGAGCGACGCATCCTTGCACGGTTCGCGTCGGTCAGATAACAGTTGAAAGCTCGGGTTGCTGCCTTTTTTCCTGCTTTAATCGTCTTAGCCTTCGCTATCAAAATTCGTTCAGAAGAGTCTCGGACGGTTGTTTGGGATGTAAGATTAGAGATTGCCGCAGTCTTGGTTGACTGTATCCTATCCAGGATATTATTTAAGTTTCGTCATTTAGTTCGTGAATTCGAGTCACTTCCCTAGCTTTTAGAGATTTAGATAGCGCGCGAGGAGCCATAACACCAGGCCCCGGAAGAGTTGGAATAGTGCAGGGAAAGCCTGGCCTCAAGTTCCATCGCGTATATGAGCAGAGATAGGAGAACCACAAAGCCGGTCTAAGAACTATGGACGTCATAAGTTTTATGACTTGATCTTATGATGATTTATAGGTTGGACCAACACGCGCTGAAGGAGTGTTTTTTATGTTAAAAGTTCTGTTTTTTATTTTTAATTATTTATGCAGTTTTTTTTTTTGATATTAAGTCACTACTCTGCTACGCTTTTTGAGCGTGGTGACCGATAAAAAAACAATTTCTTTCTTTTATTGAATAAATGAGAAGTTAATATCATTTAAAATATTTTTATTATCTTTACTATATAATAACCTACATGTATTGTATACATGTAGGTTATTCAGGAGCTTCTATCATTGAAATTATAGGTTTATGGTCACTGAAATAAGAAACATAAGTTTGAGATTTGAAATCCTCATAATCTAAATATGGTATCATCATATGATAATATAATATTATAGTATCATATTATAATATCCATCCGTGCGAGCTTCTTACAGTCGTATCACATACATACACGTTAAGCGAACGCTCGGCCGAGCTACATGGTAAGCGGAGAGTGTAAGGTTTTATTTTCGTTACGGAATTTCTTGATTCCGTCGTCGCGCTCAAAGCCTGCGATAAGAGCTATGCAATAGCTTAAAAAAATTGAGGCATTTGAAACCCTACGGTGGTAGGGCCACGCAACAGCCGCACTGTTGCACGAATAGGCAGGCCCGTCCGGGTAAGTACCACGACCTCACAGAAGACCAACGTAAAGTGGAAGTATGACAAATACTTTCGCGTTTCGTCTGGTGAGTGAGGTGGCCGGAGCCCAATTTTCAAAAGGTTGTCAACGCATCTGTAACCTTCGAGTGTGGCAGATGTCCATGGGCGGCGGTATTCACTTAATATCAGGTGAACCGTCTGCTCGTTTGAAAACTTTTCGCATAAAAGAAAAAAAAAAACGAAAAAAACGAACTATCTACTAACTATCAAACCAACAAACGTGGAGGCAGAAGCTTTTCGGTCGCTGAGCATAGTAGTTCTATATGAAGTATATAGGTAGTTTACACTATTGATGCCAATTGTTTTTTAAAATGAAATTTCCAAAAAGAAAAGTGACACTTATTACAGTGAAAACTTATTATTTTATATTTTTAATTTTTTTTACATTAATTTATTGATTAATTACTTTAGTAAGCAAAATTAACTAAACTTAAATTCATATGATACTTTAAATCACTGAATAAAAAAAACTGATTAAAATTATCTCGGGTAAAGATAACAAGTAATATTTATAGTCAGCTAAAGTAGAAAGACTACAAATTTACCAAGTGCTGTTATTTTCAATTGTATTTGAACTTTTTATTATTACATACGTATTTTAAAGTTTTTTATAGTGCTAATCTCTGCACTTAAGATTGAACATTATAACATGTAGAAAAATTACGAAAAGATTGTCGCGCTGTGGGAATCGAACCCACGTCTTCGGCATTCGCGGCCTGACGCCACTGAGCTAAACGGCTGATAGCCACAGCGACGAAAATCTTAACGCCTTCTTTCTACATTGTTATTTTAGTATTTGAAGCAATGCTTGGCGCATCTATTATTATATCCTTTCCAGCATACAAACAATTTCGAATATCGTTTTACAAGGATAATTCGAACGAGAGATGCCGCCATTGCTTTTTACAAATTTTAAAGTTTTTATAGTGCTAATCTCTGCACTTAAGATTGAACATTAAAACATGTAGAACAACAACAACAAACAAAAACATGTAAAAAAAAAAGACGCGGGTTCGATTCCCACAGCGGCGACAATTTTTTCGTACTTTTTCTACATGTTTTCATTACATACCTAGTCAAGTAAAATAATTAATCAATTACGTGTAGTAAGATATTTATGATTTTCGTAATTTTGGATAAACATTTGATTATACCATAACAAATAATATTTATTTAAATTCCAAATAAAAGCTATTATAACATTTGCGGATACTACGGTATCATCATATTTTATTTGATATATATTACTTCAATCTGGTCAATCCCGCTAGACTGAAAGCAATGCTGGATTGAAAATAGTTCTGGATTGCAAACCCTACACCTCGATGAAGAAAAGCATATCGTTCTCCATAGATAGGGTGCAAAACATCTCATCCCAATCGATCGATAAGGCTCAAAAAACGATTCCCAATTAATGGACAAAGCTTATTTGTGTCGCCATATTCGACACCCCGAGGGTCATAATCGGGTGGGGAATATGACGACTCAGACTTCACCAGACAGTGGTTAGTTCCAAAAGGAGAAGAAATCTGTACACTATACCTTTCTGGATCCGTAGTCACCAGAAGTTTCAGGCAATTAGCTATTTGATCGTCCACATCAGATAACCTAGTCGCTTACTTTACCAGCTGAGAGAGGCCTAGGGATGTAGCAAAGTTCCACGCTTTTTCCAAACATGGTCAGTTCTCTGGTACAGGAATAGCCAGTCCTGGCGACAGGAATTGAAATCCCCTAGAAAGACTTGTTGTGCAGCAGGGTACCGATGCTAAGCTACATCAGTGGACATCAATGGTCTCAGTAAGATGTACAAATTAGCGAGTCTCTTGGTGCGGTGACCGATCGATCGGTATACACAGTAATAAATAACCTCATATATTCCCGTATCAACCAGCATCTATTATATGAAGAAAGTAGTCTTATCAAGGAGACGGAGATGCAGCGTAAAACATATGTTTTACGCAATGACATTATATATAAAAAAGATGGCCTTAATCTGTAGGTTATGAGATTTGAGATCTAGGTGATGCTAACTTGTAAACTCAAAGATAACATTGCAAATTAAAAAAAAATATTTTTCTCAAAATTAAAGGTCTTTATTTGCATTTTACTATAATTGTAAACTTCGAATGTACCCAGTCGCTAATTAGTTACTCGTATATTAGTGAACATGCTTCATACTCCACCGGACTGTTCCAGATACTAATTGAACTAAAAATAAACAAACATTGGTAAATACAACAAGGGGCTAATCGATTGAAGTCTGCTGAGGGTCGTACGGTGGGTGGCTCAATTATGCAATAAGAAGCAATAAGCAAATCATTATCTCATAAAATCTTAAAACGCGACAAGACGTCTTGTTAGAGGTTGTCAATTTAATATTTGTAACGTTCATGGAGAAACAAGTACATATGAGACAGGAGTATGGCTCAGTGGTCAGCTATCTACCTAATGTTACAAAAATAGACGTCATGCTGTTTATATTTTAATACATTTCTGATTAAGTCACAATGTTAATGAACGGATTCACATTGACGTATCTGTTTCTCAGGTCAACATGTTGATTGCAACAACACGTTTGTCATACGCACATATATATGCAAATAATAAACAAAATAAGATATAAGAGTATCGATAACTGCTTTATAGTTCTGTATGCAATTGAATTAAAAGCTAGTGTGTTGTAAATATATGAAACAAAAATGCATTTGAAAGTACCAGAAGTGAAACGGTGTTGTTTCTGTTTTCCGTTGCGTCGTGGGATCATTATATTTGCGTACATTAATATTGTAAGTCTTATCACTAATTTTCACACTTTAACAGTAAAAGGTTATTTTAGTATTATTCCGCAATTACAAATTATTCACACTCGCGAAGAGAGATAACTATTGCTACAGATAATTTCTCTGGCTTTTACCAAAAATGTCCATTACACATTTTAATTGTATCAATCAAAATGTTGTATTCCTATCATATCTATGGTATTTAAGACAATAAAAACGATAACGACAGTTTATTTTTTTTTATTTAGAATCAAATGCACTATACATTAGTTATTCCAGTCCGGTTGCATGTCGGATTTTTAGGGTTCCGTACCCAAATGGTAAAACTTGACCCTATTACTAAGACTCCGCAGTCTTCCACCTTTATCTCATGAACCGTGATAGTTAGACGGTTGAAATTTTTACAGATGATATATTTCTGTTGCTGCTATAACAACAAATACTAAAAACAAGAATAAAATTTCATTAGTATCTTATCCTTTAAACGAGCAATTCTTGTAAATATATAATCGGAATCTCGGAAACGGCTCCAGCGATTTTCATGAAATTTAGTATATGCGTAGATTCGGGGGCGAAAAATCGATCATATTTTCTTATTATTAAGTCGGTAAGATCAAAAAATATTATGCATATTTTATTACTCAGTAATTTGTATCCAAATGTAATTTCCAAAATACACAATTTTCAAAAAAAAAACAAACCGAGCAAAGCTCGGTCCTCCAGGTTACTTTTATAGGTATGATTGAGAGTGAACAGCACGTATTCCGTTAGATCTGATCTTACAGAGGCTTGTTATGTTGAGTTTTAGTAATTATTTATTGCTATCATTATAATCATGTTATTACGGTTCATCGTAGTTCTATTATCTCTGAGGGCATTTAAATATTTAAGGTAAATTGCTACAGAAAAAAAACATGTTCGCACAAAACACTTATTTTATGTTTTGATTTACCACGTGGTCGGTTGTGGAAAAAAACGTTAATAGAGAAAATGCTTGTGAAGTTCACAAAGTATTATATATACAACAATACTGTCAGTTTGTCTACTGTTTGCATAAGGAAGGGATGTTGATTCCTTTAAGGTTTATTTATCCTCACAAATTTCTCATATCATTTTGCATTGTTTAAATTCGAATATAAATTTTTACTTCATCACTTACTACTCCATAGTTACACACTGGGGCCATTTAGCGCGGCTTTATAAAGATGTATTAAAGTTTACAATCCTGCACCTTGCAACGTAGATATTCACCGTGCTGGCCGTGGCGTGTCTCGTTATCACGACGGAGCTTCAGAAGCTGTCGATAACAAATGACACGTCGCTGGAAGTCGCGACCTCGACGGTATTGTTCAGTATCCTCGGGATGGGCGTTATTCTGAATATACTGCTCCTAGTTGCTGGATATCAGGTGACGGGAGGATTGTTTATTTACTTATTAGATATTACAACATCGTATTATTATATTTTGGCAAGCTGGTTCTGCCACTTGCCATCTGGTGGTTCATCTGATGGTAAGTGAAAACCGCCGCCCATGGACATTTGCAACACCCGTAGGGTTGCATATGTGTCGCCACCTTTTAATAAAGCGTGCCTCGGTTACCACCAGTCGAAACGCAGAGTATAACACTTCCACTTCACGTCGGTCCTCTGAGGTCGTGGAGTACCACGACCATGTACCACTACCACGGGCATGGGCAGGTCTGTCCGGGAAGTATCCCGGACAGACCTGCCCACTCGTGCAACAGCGAAGGCTCTTGCGAGGCGCTACTTTCATAATATTAGAATTATATAACTACAAAAAAGATATTTATAATACTTCAGTCAATACAATAGTACTTGTCTTCCTTTTACTACCAATGTAATCCGCTACGGATTTGAAATCTGATATTTTGTTTCCTTTCAAAATTGTGTTGAGAATCGAATTTAGAACGCTCGTACATATACTACGCGATCGTACATTCGCGTGTCGTGTGTAAATAAATGAGTGTAATTAAATTATAAATTACAGAAAGACTTGTTGATGCTGCGCCTGTACAATTATTACGCAGTAGCTACCACACTGGCTGCTCTAGTGCCAACATTAATGCTCCTTTCTCGCGGAATGCTGTTTGAGGTGTTCACGGCGTTGTTTGCCATTCGTAAGTTTTGGACCACTGAGCTTTAAAATCTTTTGTAAATATGTGCTCGACGTACATCGACAAGGGAAAAGCGATACGAGAGAGGTTTTTGTTCTGGTTAACTGAAAATATTTCAAAGATTTAATCGCACTAGCGTCGCGGCTTAAATTTGATTTAACAGTTTTATATTTAATCCTTACATTTTGAAATTTATAAATTTGTGTATACCATGTTTCGATTACATTCATTCATTAGAACAAAATTCGGCTTCTAAGATACCTATTATTTTATTTAATTTAATACACGTTGGCTTTTCTAAAGGCGCCCAAATTCACACAGGAGGTTCAGACTCGGTAGTATAATCGTTTGTTAAAATAAAAACAAACTTTTTTTCAAACAAATTGCCATTCTATTTCTATCTAAGCAGAACTTGTTGACAATGCGGTAGTCATTCATAAATACGTCGTATACTTTTGAAACGGACTTGTGTGCGTGTTAGTTATGAATGTGTTACCGCGGAGCACGTAATAAGTCAGCACTTAAAGTTAAAAACTTCATTGGTGCCGGCACCGGGGATCGAACTCAGGTTGCTCGAGTATATTGAATTAAAGGCGAGCCCCCGGACACTGACCTATCACGGCTCTCGACTATGAATGATCGAGCGTAAAGTAAATGAGTTGACCATAAATCACGCACTTTTTGAGATAAGTTAAAATGAATGTAATTAATTAATTACGTGTGATTTTATATATTCATCATTTTTTATATAACATTATTTATGTCTATAACTTAATTACAAAAAATGGATACCATTAGAAAAGCCCTGTATAAACTTAAAAACAAAATTTACTCCTAAAGTGCCAAGTTCCAAGCAAGATATTTGTAAAATAATTTTGTTCAATTACATTTAATATATTATTTATATTGTGTATATATTAATATATTATTTATTTAGTGACGCAGCCACAGTCGCTGGTATAACCTAAAAGCGTTATACGAGTACTTAAGCTTTTACGTCATTTTATTACAGTAATGCAGTGTTACGTTGTCGTCTTGGTGAGGAGCGAAGTGGTGAAGTTGGAACACGAACAGCTTGTGTCAAACGAGGAAATGCAGGGGGAGAATCAGGTGGTTGTAGCAGTGCCGGATCGCGTGACGTTGCTTTGAATATTTTGCTAATAAAGACTTCGTGGCTATGAAGTTGCTGTTTTTCTTTGTTTGCATATGTATGTAAATATTAATTAATTAAAGTAATATTTGTTGATAATGTTTAAGTAATTTAGTTGATTTAGATACTAGAAAATCCTGCGTTTTTATGCGAATGTATCGTGAAACGACCTTTCGGCAGGTCGATGTTCAGCTGTATATTTGTTACGCTGTTAAAAGTGATGGTGATAATTACACTCGTAATAACCTTTTGTACAATACTACGATTGTTATGTTTACAGGTTTTATATATCAATATAGTTTTAACTAGAACAAAATTTAACCTAAACGCGTAAATGCATTGATTGTCTTTAGAAAAATTTGGCCATATTACTCATAATTACTGAAGCGTATTACGAGTTTAAACGTTTCTTTCCACCGCTCACGATCACGGCGGCTTGTGGTGAGTGTGCGGCGTTATTAAATAAAAATTAAAATATTTCCCAATTTGGTGCACGAGCACAGGTGGGCGCCTGCGGACAGGAGTCGTGACTTACTTCCCGGGACCATTGTCGGGAGTAATATTCATTGAAATAATATGAAATATGACTTAAACGGCACTCGCGTGCGTTGTACGCTAAATTGCCAATTTCGAGAGTAATATAACAATGTTGCACAATGTAGCAGGAAGAGGTAGAAGAGTATGCATCAACACGAAACGAGGGTGTTTTGACGTTTTAATATTTCGCCCTGAGCCTTTTAAGAATGACACTAATATTCACATTTTTTTAGTACGTATTCTACAATATAATAATGAATATCTGGTTAGCTATCTGTTTACCGTAATGGATAACAAGCTTATATCAGAATATGAAAACGTTTTGAACAGGGGTGGTAAATTTATCTCTTTACTTAACGCACAAGGGTGTCTCGATTAAGTTTTTCGTGAGGTCACGCTCGGGAGGGGAAACTGTTATACATATTATGTTCGAAGTTCTAAATATAAATATTGGATGTCATTACAAGTGATCGATAAAAATTATCTTAATAATCGAACAGCGATCACCTTGTTGGCCAGCCTTGCTCTAGAGTAACCTACCAGGATTAAATTGGTCAACAAGACGATTCGGTTCTACTGTACCCTTTGTGTTTCTAACCATTTTGATTATGCAAGATAATCGATATGTTTATTATCACATTAACATCGTCTTGAATAAAGAGCAAATTAAACATTTTTAAAATTATGTGCAATTTCAGTTTTGCTTCTTCTAACTCTAGGATTGTTCAGTACTCTGATTTTATTTCGTGTAAGTTCTGTACATGGAGTGATTTAAGCTTACGTGTGTGTTTTTAAAGAATAATGTATAAGGCAAACATCACATTTAAATTTTTTACTATAGAGTGTAGGTAATATATCGCTGGTTTATTTGCCACCTGGTTTTTAAATTAGTTGGCTTTGGCTGTCAAAAAATGTAATAAATTGTGATTACATGCGAATAAATTTAAGCTTTTGACTTAACAGTTAACTTTAAAAGCGCACAAATTTTTTTTACATTATTAAATCTTTCAATAATTAGCGTAACGATCATAGTAAATTGAAATAAATATTCGAATACATTAATAACACTTTAAATGTACTCGTTTAAAGGTATTATTAATGTAATTTTCTGTAAGTAGTGTAGACTAACATTAAGGCCAGAGCCAGAGCAGCTGGTATACGAGTGAGAAAACTCTGAAAGGCAAAACCGCGGAGGGCGGCAGCTTATAGTCCCGGAACCAAGATGCGGTTACGCTTTCGAAGGTCGGACGAAGTATACAAATTCTATTTCCTCCAAGAAACTACTTTACATATATATGTAAAAATAATAGATTTTTTTTCTGTTTTTATACATTTGTATAGAAAAAAATATTTTTTTTGTAATTTTACGCTACCTATAAAACTGATTAATTCGGTACCTGGTGAAAAATGGCAAAAATTAATCTCGTTGAAATTTGTTATATTTTAATTTTGTAATATTTTAATTTAATAATCAATTCTGCTTATAATGTTGTAACAGAAGTACATTTACGATAAAGAAAAAATAAATAAGTAATCATATAAAAATCGGACAATTTATTAACACTTTTTATATAGTAACTTTACTGGACATAAAATAGTGCATACGTACTTAATCCGTAGCCTTTTAAACTTTTTTTCTTGCACCTTATTAATTACTTAAGTAACTTAATTGCTTAATAGCTTCAATTAAACAACAATTCGCGATACAATTCCCTCGCTATGCAAAATGGCGGCCCTTCATGGCCATTTTTTTAAAAACAGCGAAGCTTTAAAAACTGCACTAAGGAGTCCTGTAAAGCGAAATGCACTTATTAGCCGTGGAGGGCGCGTCGAGAGTTCTGCCTAATGGTTGCCATTCATGAGCTGAATGGAGACATGAAATTGCCAACAATTATATACTCTCGCAATGATAACCGGCGGATGCTTTAGCTTCGGCAAACTTGCTTGGGCTACAGATAAATTCAGAGAACGGACTATTATGGCTAGAAAGTGCGGCATGATACTTTTGCGGTATAACCGTTTTTTTCCTATGTTTTGATGTTACTTATCTGTTTTCCTTGGGTGTTTTCAAAATATATGTATTTTTTGAGATTTTTATTTGGTATAATACAATACAATATAAGGATAAGCCAAACATTCCGCCTGCGATAATTTCAATACATACATTTTGTGACAAAATACGATGCGTTTTTATATTAAAATATAGCTTTTGTGCCGAATCTTGACAATCTGACAGTATTGGCGGACAATGCGATGCGGGGGTTGACGTCAGAACATGGCTGCCAGGTAGTCAGGAGCGGAGATAGGATCCGGTCATCCTGCCCATTTCCGGTCTTCACGCGGCCGTGACGCTTCCGGGCACGCGTCGCCGCCGCTGCCTTCGCCGACGTAGAGACACTAGAAACGAAACGAGCGCAGTATGTAGAAATTTAGAGTGCAAATTTAATTAAAATAAAAAAAAAATAGGTTTATAATATTGCCTTCTTAAAATATTTAACGTAAGCTTCAGTAGGTTCTATTCTATCGCGATTGCAGATGTTATCTGCAATCGCGATAGTCAATAGGATGACGGTAATTATATTATTTACGATGTCGCTGGATGTGGTTAACACTTTGCATTATATATTTTTAGCTTTAATGCATTTGAAAAGTTATTTCCAAACATTTTATATTTATGTATCGTTATTTAACATCTACTAATACGCTTTTGTTTGCTGCCAAGTTTAAATCAACGGTTATAATTGTATCCCGAGACGAGACACTTCCAGCAGCGAGCGCGCTTAGGAGCAATCTCCACGTCGTGCTGTCATCCGCCGTCCGCAAGATGAGTTTTGTGAAATGAATTCGTTCATGGCGACAATTGAATACTGCGCTGTCGCCCGGCCCGAGCGTGGACTGGTTATCTTTACAGCGCAGTGGTAACTTGGAGAACAGTAAAACCCGAACAGTGTGCAGAATGATAGGTTACTCCTCACTAGTGCGTTATAACTGATCAATGTGAAATTTGCAATAAATACCAATTCGATACTACTGTTTCATCCATCTCAAAGTTATCGCAAGTTAACTAACTAGTTCTGAAGCCAATGGACAGGTAGCACCAGAGGAATATATTTTGCTGTTGCTTTATCAGAATAAAACGGATACTTGTTTACTATTCAGAGACCCAACAGCACTGCATAAAGACCTCAGCTATGAGCATGACGAAATCTGGTATTTACCACCGGTTCTAGGTTCCGGTTCTCACCACCTTCGGCAGCTTATTATAAACGACAACAATTAGAGTTGGTATCGGTATTGGAATATCTCATTCCGACGGCATAAAGCAGAACATTTATTTCAACTTAAAATAACATTATAGAGAATCGGGAGCTTTAGGCAAGATTTTAGGTAGTTCGCAAAAAACGTCGCATACTCTACTGATACCTATACAAGCTAGGCCGCAGTAAAAAAGAAAATTTATAATAAATAGCAATAATATACATTCACAAATTAGCAGTTGAAGCTATCAGCTCACCAAGTGACACTCGTAATTGTAAAAGTATAAAATCTACGTTATACTATTTGGATACTACATACGCCCTATACATTCCGATGTCTCAATATCAAAGTTTTCCCGTCTTCAGTATGTTGTCGAAGTAAGCAAGAGCATTCTAGGCCCTTTCTGTTCTTATCGAGGTTATTAATAGCCAAAGGCAACATGTAATCTGCCTGTCAAAAATGTAATTTTCGTACGCATACCCAAATATAGTAGTAGTTCATTGATGAACTCCACCTCGTATTTTTACTCGTTAAACTCGTGGTCAAAAATACTACGACTGCTAGCCGATGTTAGCACCTGTTTTTACGAATTAATTCCTACACAACAAGGTACCTGTTTTTTGCAGTTAATTCTTACACAATTTTGTTGCCATTCATTTGTATAAATTATTTAACCTATTATAAATAAAAAAAGTAAGTTAAGTTCTTGATAATTATTCCTAAGAAATTTTTACTTCTTGGTATTACCGCATTGCAATAAGAAATCGTACGTCTGACGTAGGCGTTGCAACTTCATAACATTGACAGATGCCCCAAAGACCACCTGACAGCGGTCATGCCCATATGTCGGGTTCCACTGGCGGCTCTACAGAGCCTCACGCAAACCGTTCGATACTCCTTAATTTGTGTTTTTCAGTCTATTTAAACATTTTATCTGCACTTTTTCATTCATTGAAAATTAAGGAAGCAATCAATTCCAAAGATCTCTCGTCTCTTTGAAACTATCTTCACCTCAGCATACATAATTAAATAGTGTAGTAATAAGAAATATTTAATTGTTAGTATTGAGTTTTATTCGACACCCTCTTAGTTTAACTTTTTGTGTGGATGAGGCCACGGCATGTGCAAAGTGGTTTGCGAGTCTAGATGTAATGATCCCTGATGATGTGTTTAACTTGCCGTTTATGGTCGCACTAGGCCT